TGCGGAAGCCCCTACAAATATTTGCTTATCAATCAATTAAATTACTTTTCCTATTTTCTAAAACTAAATTACTTAAATAAACCTAATTTTACTCAGTACAACTTCAGCGTTGTGAGTACATGTGTTTTGCTTGTCTCATAAAACGGCCATCCCGACATTTATAATTTGCTGGCTAGCTTCAACCAGCATCTAAGGGCCGGATTCACAGTGCTTAATTAAACGATTGTTAACTTAATCACCAACAAGAGATTAACTTTGAATTTATCGCCTGAGAATGTACAAATTTTCAAAAGCAATACTTTTCTATTCAAATTTGAAATTCGTACCACAAAAATAAATTTAATTACGCAAGGGTTTAACTATGGGGACATGCTGGTTTAAACTTTTGTTAACTGAGCATTGTGAATATGAAAATCAATAGTGAAACTCTTATTGGTGGTTAACTACGCACTGTGAATTTGGTCCTAAAAGATTTTTTAGTTAACTTTATCAGGAAATTCGAATTTGTCGGTTGAAAATCTAAAAGAACCAAAATTAAATTTTTCTTGCTGGAGCTAGCCAGCAAGGTATGAATTATTTATTTTTTTGAAGGTTCATTTTTCATCCAAACTTTTTGGGGTTTTACAAAATGATTATATAATGGCCTATTTTACCCTTGTAGGCCATTTATGGAAGTTTTCGAAAGCATATTTTTCCATTTTATTCCTATAGAGAGATTTACGATTTTGTCCATCGACACTCCCAAATCGTACACTGTGCGGTGTTTCTAATTTATGGTTTTGGTAGAGTGGATTTCATATTATAAAATTGGGATCGTATGTATATAAAATAATTATATTTGGGGTATTCACAACGGCGTCGTACGGTTTTATGTCGTAAACTTTTAAAGCTTAAATATGTACATGTTTAGAGGACGTGAAACAACCAACTATTTTTTAACACTGTGAAAATTCATAATTCAACGTTCGGGGTTACTCATTTAGTAATTTAGAAAATAAATTTTTTAAACTGATATTCTGTCATTTTATTAAAAGATATAGTGCATAAAACTAAGGCTATTATGAGATATATTTATTTACATTCAAGAAGTAGGAGGAGCAAATCTGACTTCTCAGGTAATTGTGAAAAGAAAGATTAATTTGGTAAATATTACACTATGCTTTTTTATTTTATATATATTTTTTTTTATATTTTGTTTTTATCGGTTTTTGGGTTGACTAGTTCTCGGATTTGCCTATATCGGACACTTCTACTTGTTTTCTTTGGTTTGGTTTTTATGCTAGCCGGAATTTGGGCTTGAAACTAGGCCCTGATACATTAAAATTTACTTTGCTCTGCGGAAAGTGCCGCAATATTAATTTGGTTTTTATTCCTTAAATGAATAAAAATGGTGTTACAACTGATTTTAACGAAATTTTAAGGGGTTAAGGGAAGTACACTGAGAAGGTTATTATACAAATTATATTGGAATGGAAAGGACATTATATTTATTTACATCTATAAAAATGTTAAGTTCGTTTGTTCTACAGGCAAAAACTCCAAGATCGTTTAACTGGTTTAAAGAATTTTTTTTAGTTTGTTCTAAGGTCAGAAACTGTGCTCCAAGCCAGGCCCTGCTAAATGATAGCGCGTTGATAATAACTTAACCACAGCGGTCACCAAGAAAGTTTACTGTCGAAAATATTTTTGAGGCGGGTTGCCACCTATTGGAAAAATTTTATTCAATTAAATTGACTAGGTAATCCAAATATTACTAAAATATGGGTGTCAAACGAAAGGCACTTGAGAAATCTTTGATTTAAAATTATGTATTTTCAATTGCGTTTTGAACCAAGAATAACTCAGTGAGTGGGGAGACCAGTATATTTGCATGTACATATGTATAAAAACAAAAAAAATATTTATTCGAACATAAAATGGTGTGTATGCACTGGGGCCAATGGTTATCACTATCTATCAACTATGTGTGGTTGTAAGCCATGCAAAGTCCGCAAAAGACTCCGGAAGCATTTTCGGGAGGATACGTCAGACTAAGCCGAGCATCCTTTGAAGTGCCATCAAATAGTAACTTAAGAATGTTTTATTATGCGGCAATTGAGAAATGCATGTTCAAAAATTTCATAAATTAAATGAAGGAAATTTTTGCATATGCGCCTAAACCACTTATCTAAATCATAAAAACTTATTAAATGGAATATCCCAAGAATGGTACTGAATGAATCAGTATTTGAGGAAGATTTATCTAGGTTTCCAAAGGTTACAACCTATTCAAAAGCGGAAATTTGAAAAAATTTTAATGAAGAAAGAATTAATTACAAATGTATTATCAAATGTCCGGCTTGCTGCGTTGCGCCTGCAAAATATTTTTGTGTTATTACTCCCTCTAACTAAATAGTACATATATCCATGAAACATAAAATAGATTTTAAACAACTTTTAAAGTGAAATTTTCAGAGAAATGTTCGATTTACAAAGCATATAAAGTATTCTATTACCATGTTTATAGATACGCAAGAACCGCAGTAATAAAAAACCGATTTACGTTCGAGCGTTTACATCTGTGTCTTTATAGCGCACTCGATGAACCACATTCGAAAGTAAACAAAATTTGCTGCTTTTCTTCGTTATTTCTATCATATACCTTGTTTATACCAACACATAAAGCGCTTTGACCCAGTTCGCTGTCCCAGCAAAAAATCGGTAATTGCTTTTAGTGGTAACGTGTTCTAGAAGGCATAGCGTTATAATGCCTTCGAATTTTTTCGCTTCTTTTAGGCATTGTCGGTAATGCAAAGTAGAATGTCCTACAATATTTTATTTATTTCGCTTCTTTGTTTCATTTTGGGGAATGCAAAGTAGAATGTCCTATAATATTTCTTTCTTAATTCGCTTCTTTGCTTCATTTCAGGGAATGCAAAGTAGAATGTCCTACAATATTTTTTTTATTTCGCTTCTTTGCTTCATTTCGGGGAATGCAACGTAGAATGCTGCATCGTAGTCAGCTGAAAAATAGAATGAATATCGAAAAAATCTTTTCCTACCGTTAGTTTCTGTGGAAATTTGTCTCGCATAAAAATCATGTTTTGCTTTGTTCAATTTGCAGCGAAGTTGAAGTCAGTCAATGAAGTGAAGTACATGAGTGAGGAAGTACAATTTTAAGCTTAATTAAATATGCATGTATGTACATACCGATTTTTAAGTAAAATCTAAATACCCAAATACATACATATGTTTGTATAAAAACTGATTTATAAAAATTTTAATTAAATTTAATCTTTTAAGACATTTTCTGATATAATATAAATAAGTATGTACTCATCTGGGCATTCTACATTAGTTTCTCTGTAAGGCATTCTTTGTTCGCTTCTCTGGATTCTGTTTATCCATGCGTTCTCCCTTCGTTTGAAGGTAATGCTGCGGGTAAGAGCTTACCGCCAATGACATGCCCATGTTAAAATAAGGCCTTCCTGAAGCGAAAGGGTAAGCGATTCCCATCGCCTAGCTCGTTTCCACATTCGTTTCTATGGTAATCGTGTTTTTTGCTGGGGTGATTCAAAACGAAAGAATAAACCAACTTTCAATACGCTCAGAAATTCGAAAGTGTATTGACTTGAATTTGTTTTCAAATTGCTTTTTTATTTCTCACATCGGTTAGAAAACAGGTATAAACCCATCACTCATTAGACGCGAAGTGAAAAAAGGCCGGTTTTCTTTATGCAGCCCGGTTTAAATTTGAATTATTATTATAACAAATTTGAATTCATGTTTGCTTCCATTTCGGTCTACCGCGCAAATTAATTATTTAAGAAATATCGAATAAAAATAACAAATTTTGTTTACTTGTGAACACGGTTTCAGCAAGTGTGCTATAACGACACAGGTATAAATGTTTGAAAGAAATACCACATAAATAAACAAGGTAATAATTAATTTGCTCGGTTGACCGAAATGAAAGCTAACAATAATTAAAAATTATTTAAGTAATAATTCAAATTTAAAACGGGCTTTATAAAAAAAACCAACCGATTTTAATAATAATAATAATAATAATAATAATAATAATAATAATAATAATAATAATAATAATAATAGATTGGCGCTTACAAAATATGTTAGTGTTTGGCCGAGCTTCTCCTCCGACATGTGGCGTGCGCCTTGATATTGTCACACAAAGCGGAAGGACCTACAGTTTTACGCCGACTCCGAACGGAGATTGTATTTTAATAAGAAGCTGTTTTTCATAGCAGAAATACACTCGGAGGTTAGCCATTGCCTGCCGAGGGACGACCGCTGTTAAGAAAAAACTTTTTTTCTATATTTTTTTTTTGCGATGTTGCTTTGACCAGGGTTTGAACCCAGATGCTGCGGAGGACTACACCACAGCGGTGGATAAATTACCTTTACAAAAATAACAAACCGTTCACATTGCAGACGCGAATGTTTCGTTTTATGCCCATTTAGGCGGCACTGTGCGAGTTGAGAAATAAAAAACTAATTTGAAAACAAATGTCAGTCAATACACTTCTGAATTTCAAAGCGCATTTAAACTAAGTTTATGCAACCGTTTTGAAACGCGGCGAACTGAGTTAAAGCTATTTATGTGTCGATATAAACATGGTATATATTCTATACTAATTAGTAAATGTTTGTTTAAATGTATTTAGAGAGTAGGCAAAGACTTTCTCCTGAAAATTCAATTCAAAGGGAATATTAGTTAAATAGTTGTCGTTTTTGATTCTGTTCAAAAAAATATGCAAATACTGTATCTTCCATAAATTGCATCCTACTTTATAAATACTTTCAAAAAAATATTAACTGAGAGTTTTGGATATTGCGAGATTAAGTAACAACACAGAAGCACTTTTAAGGCTCAGCGCACTACACCGGTATTTGCTAGAAATAAATGAGTAAAAGGTATTTTTTTTTACATTCATGAAATTATAAAGCCTTTGGGCATATTCGAAGTCAGTACAGTGTTGGCAAAGGAGTTGTGTATTTACCTCTTCATCGCCGCGCAATTGATTGTCCAAAGTAGAGACTTTATCGAAAAATGTCCAGCTTAAATTCTCAGCGCTGCTGGGTAGAATTTGTAGATTCACAGAATTTCGCTTATCCTGTTGATCCTGTTTTGCTAATTTTTGATGCACTCTCTGTTGATTTTTTCTGAGTGTATTATTACTAGCGGAACGTTGTAACGTTTCTTGTTGTTTTTGTTGTTGTTGTTGTTGTTGCTGTTGTTTCACGGAAGAGTCAAAATTAAAATCTAAAATGTGCGAGGCAATGTCGATGGTATCATTCACCATGGCAGATATAGACAAACGCTTTTCGCAAAAATGGCTGATGCACTACTCAACTAAAACAAAAAGGAAACAAGGTATGGTTGATTTATTTACATAAATGGCCAAGGGTTTTTTTTTGTTATAAGTTGCGTTTCATTTATCAATTGTATTGTGTTATTTTAAATTGATTTTATTTGTGAGAATATATTTTTATATAAATTTTTATCATTTTTTTTTCAGATTGCCACACACTTGCGTGGTATTCTTAATTTATGCTTTTTATGGCCACATACTCGTATTAAATGGGCGCAACGATGCATGCAACCATAAACACTGATCATATGTGTAGGTGAATGTATGTATATATGTATACATAGGTATGTATGTATGTGCCAGTATGTACGCAGATAAATCAGAAGTCAGTCGCGAGTGCAGTTGACTCAACGTCGGCGCGCAGAATTTTCCGCACAAATTAATAATTAATTAATTGATGAGTGAGTAAACAATGGCTTATTGAGAGTTGTATAAACAAACGTACAGATAAATTGGCAATTACATAAATGCAGGGCAGGAGGAGTAGAGGTAAAACATGTAAAAAAAAGGAAATTATTATTATAAAAAATTGCTATGCAAAAACCACTAAATGCCGCGTGATTTTTATAACCTTTTTATAGGCGCGCTGGAGCAACGTGTTGCAACTTGAAAGCGGCCATTGCATGACAAAATAGATACGAGTTTCTGGAATTCAACAGCGTCATTTTGTGCGCCAAATTATGTGATTTTCCAATCAATTAAACGTGAAATTTCGACGCGCGTTCGAGCGTTTGGTTGGCTGTTCGGTATCCGGCTGTCCGGTTGTCCGGCCTGCAATGCAAAGGCAAACGCGCTGATGGCAGCAATTGCAGCGATTTAATTGCGCGTGAAATGATGCTAAATGCTGCCAACTAAAACAACAACAATGCTGAAGCTGCATTCTAGAAAAAAAAACTGTTTATAGTCACTACGTATTTTCTTCTACTCAATATTTATACACGGCGTATACGCAACTCTATTATTTATTTCAATTCACATCAGTATTGAAACTACTTAAACACTTGCTACACTTTTTCCGCGTATTTCACTCACCAATTCCGCATATTCACAATAACACTTGCCGCGAAATTTGTTCCAACTAAAGTACAATCAAAAGCTATAAATACTATATATTATAGACGCACTAATTTATCGTTGAATGATTTTTTTCTCCATTGAATTAAGTATTAAAAATAATGTTTTTTTTCAAAATTTTCACGCGCCGCATTTACAAATTGCGAACTGTTCACGCGCACGCTTTGCCAAACACTGACTGGTCAACATCTTCGGCGGAATTTTCATCACTTCGTTGGCTGCGGCGATTTGCTATAGCGGAAAATTCTTTTGCCGGCAGCTTTACAGCCGGGAAATGCTTTGCAGCCAACTGAAAGCTTTTCCGTGTCGACGGCTGCCTCTCGCAGGCTTACTTTCGAAAAGAGAGCAAGAGCGCGAGATTTTGTACATTGAGAGCATGCTCTGTTTTGTGTAGCCGGTTTGTTTACATCGCATTTTAGCATTGTTGTTATTATTGTTCGGTGTATGCAACACGTGGTTTGCAGCTGCCAAATAAATAGCGGCAATTTATTGTTGTTTATTTTTAGTATGCCTTTTTTACTGTTTAGTATTTCGTTGTTTCGTGTGCGTTAATGCTTAAGGGTTGAATCTATGGAAATATACGTGCAAAAGTTGGTAGAGTTGCCAAACTTTAGAAAAATTAGCGGAAAATTTAAGCGTTGTATACATTTTTTTATACAACATACCAAAAGTCCCTATCGATGCATATGCCGGTCGCAATGTTCGCGGAATAAAAGGCTCCAAAAAAAAGTAAGTGCGTCTGGGTCACACTGGTGAAGTCAAACTTACGTTACATACATATCTATTTGGTCTCACAACCAATATGTATACATACATATGTACATCTGCTTTTGCTTAAGGTTATATTTTTTGTCTTTTTTCTATCTAGATCCCTACCTCTACCCCTATTCGTTCTAATTACATTTACGTTATTCTGTTTTCCTTTATCTTCTTTTTTATCTTTATACTCTGTCGATAACAAAATCGACAGTACCATCCAATAAAATATCGATAGCAAAACCGATAAAAATATCGATAACAAACTCGATGGAAAATTCGATAAAAATATCCATATCAAAATCGTTAAAAATTTTGATAAAAAAATCGATAAAAATATCCATAACAAAATCGATAGTAAAATCGATGAAAAATTCGATAAAAATATCTACAGCAAAATCGATAAAAATATCGATAAAAATATAAATATCCATAACAAAATCGATAAATATCGATAACAAAATCGATAAATATCTATGACAAAATCGATAAAAAAAGGTCGCTAATAAAATTGTTGAAAATATCGATTACAAAATGGGTAACAAATCGATAAAAATATCGATTATTATATCGATAACGATATCGAAAATATCGATAGCAAAATTGATAATTATTTATCGATAAATCTCGACAATCCCGAAAATCCAAAATAGTTCCCAGATTGAGTCTCTGCGTCTCTCTCTATCGTTTCCTCTTTAATTACCTTTATTTCAATCCTTCTTCCGGTATCTTCATCTTTACTTGTATCGGTATCCTCATCCTCCTCTTTGTCTTTAGTTTTATGTTTATCATTTTCTTCATCTACATATTCCCCTTCACCTTTCCTCTTATACATATAAGTAAAGTATTTAAATTTACCTTGGTCTTCATTTTTGCCTTTATCTTTACGCATCATTGTTTTTGTTTTTATTTTTGCCTTTGTTATCCTTTTCTTTAGCTATATACGTACTCACCTTTACTTTCATTCTTGTATTGGTCTTTTTCTAAATGTTAATTTTTAACCTTTTGTTAGCAAATTTTTGTTAAATGAATACCATATGCATACACAAAAGAAGCACTTGTTTCAGCCCCAACCATTTCCGTTGCACCGTTTCCGTTTGCAATTTCCGTTGAATTTGCCATTTTACTCCCAACCAACCAACCACCGCTAGAGGTTTCACTTCAAAAAAAAAAAACATGTTTCCGAAAATCTCGCTAAGGATCACTATTTTGAGCGGTTACCTAGTGTGAAGCGTACAAAAATTTCTAAGCCACTTTTTTGGTCAATGATTTTAGACGAAATCCCATTAAAACGTTGTTACGTCCAGAGTATGTAGTCCTTTCTAGTGATTTATTTATCTTACTTGACTTTTATAATACCTGTAGTTCTAAACGCCGCACTTCCAGATATGCCTTCGGCAAAATACTCCAATTTTGCTAAATAATAAAAAGCTTCTACCGCAGAATCAGAGCTAGAGTGCTATATTCAGTCGTGGATCGTATGTTTATTAAGGAGCAAGGTAATTCATGTTGAGCTACTGGAGATGCACCCCGCAGGGAGCAGTTCCTACCCTGTTTTATGGCTTCGGGTGTTGAATAAACAACTACTAGATTCACAGGCCATCAATCAAGTATTTTATTTATTTTTACCGATGCGTTTCGGTTGGCAGTTGAGCAACCATCATTAGCCAGCGTCAAGTGAACACTGATTTAGACGACAGAAGTAGACCGTGCAATAAATAAAAAACTTTGATTTTGCGGTCAAAAAGGTGAAAATTTAAATTAGAACTGGAAGCGTGTCTTCGTCCATCACAACATGGTCATTTTNCTTTATTTTTGCATTAATTAGAGTTTGTTCCTAAAAACAGCACTCAACTTTTTACTGGGGATTTTACTTCTCTTGAGCTGATTGACCCGGATGCAAAGTAATCGTTTTTGGCCGCTCCCTGTTGAATGTTGATCATTACATTTCTCCATATGCGTGGACTTATAGGGCCTCATGCATAAAAAGTGAGCTTAAGCTCCGACTCGATTTTCAGTACAAATTCTTGGGCTTGAGCTCACCCCTTCAGTGCAAAAATTGAGTCTGAGCTTAAGCTCACTTTTTATGCATAAGGCCCATAGACCCGGAACCATCCTACTGCAACCAGAACTTTGCATTTGTTTGATTTCGAAATCACGAAAGAGACGATATTAATAAGACCAAAAGACGACACCAATTTCATAATAAATAATAAGCAATAAATACCTTAGCTAAGCGCTTTAGCACAACAATTTCATAAAAATATTTACCTCCTTCCGTATTTAAGTGAAGTAGGTACATATTCTTCAGTTTATTGTTCAACCTGTGCAGCTCTCAACCATTTCACAGACTGTTGTTTTAACATTAAGTTAAGTACTCCAAGCATAAAAAAACACTAAATAAATATTTATTTCAAGCGAAAGACATTAGAAAACAAAGAATGAAACGAAAAACGCTAAACTCAACTAAACACTTTAGCCACGCAAAAAGGCCACAGAATTCTCTTAATCCATGCATTAAAAGAACACCAGCAGCAGTAGTTGAGCAACCAACCAACCGACCAACCAACTAACTTACAACACCAAAGTATTCAACAACTTTTAGGTGCTTGCCAGCAGCATTCATTCACCAACAGCAACGCGGCGAAACAAAAGCAGCGTAAAAACAATAAAATATTTAGTACTGGAATGAAAAATATGCTGCCTGACCGACTTAATATGCGCGCGAGCATTTTAAAGGCGTGAGCTGAGCTGCCTCCGAATAGTAGGTGCAACAATACAGTTTTTGACACTTGAACTAAAACCACTTGGCTGCCACCAGCAGCGGCAACAGAAAACTGTGTACCAGGGGTCATAAACAGAGGTGGGAAATTTCATATACGTATCTACATGTGTGTGTTTAATTTACTTTTATATACATATACAAATATGTAGTGGGTTTGCATTCATTCGCACGCTTTTGAATACTTAGCAGCTAAACCATAAAACCATTCATTAGTGTGTAGAAATTATGGTGCAACTCAAACGCATTTACTAGTTCTAAAACGAATGTGGCACAACACAATAGAGTGAAGTAGAATAAACAATGGTGATTGTTTTGT